AAGGTTCTATGTCTCTGGGGCTGTTTTATAAGTCACAACTCCTAGTCAGACCGTTCTCTGCCTTAGATGACCATTAAAGCCACTACAATGCCACAGTAATGCTTTCTCCACAGAAAAACGGATGATTCTACCTAGCCTTGCAGAGGCATCACTCCATGGAGACACTACATACAGGATGAACTTCAGTCACTATAGAATGGTAGGTCCAGTTCATTAAGTCTTGACTGCTCATATTAAGATGAGGAAACTGAAGCTCAGAGAGGTCATTGGAAGCAAGGACAGGGCCAAGACTGGAGCCTAGCTCCTCACCTTCTCCCTGGGCTCCTTCCCTCACCACTTTGATTGTATTCTGGCTCTTCCATTTGTACCAGAGCAGGTTTACCGAGAAGCAAAGGACCGATTGTGAATCTTGGTCCTCCTCTCTCTCTCTAGGAGAGTCATGAAAAATATACCTTTCTCCAGGATATCTGCCTCTTAGTAGGAGTGGGGGGTGGGGTGTCTCTGGGCTTCACATATCACACCCGTGACTATTGCACTGATGCTGGTTGGAGAAGATTGGATGGGAAAAACCAGACATAGTCTGAAGCTATCCTCATGCATTTTTCAGAGATTAATTATGGCATGGGCATCGGGAATATTTGGAGAAAAGAGATCTGTTTTTAGAGATATTAATACTATTGACTAGAATATCTCAGACTTGGCAGGAATGTTGTAAACTAACAAGCCTTGCCTCTTTCACCTCCATTGTATGAATACCTTCTGTGAAACACAATTTTCCCTTTTCCACTCTGAACATCTTGAGTTGTGTGAGTGCATGACACGTGTTCCTTTGTCAGACAGCCTTGACTGTTGGAAAGTTTTCCCTTGTATTGAGCAGAAAATTTCTTCTTGTCATACTATCCCCACTCCTCACCTCTGCCCTGTCCCCACATGGGTCTAGACCCCCAGGACATGTTCTTTCTTTTTTTTTTTTAAAAACTCTTCAGAGACATGCAAGTTGTGACCAGGTTTCCCTCACAACTGCCTTTTTTCTTCCCACTTACCTGAAGAAGCTTTAGCCACAGAGAGAACTCGGTCTATGTCCAGCGTGGTGTTGAGGCCATGGTGAGGACAGGAGGACAGAAAGTCTCATGGCAATGAGGATGCTAGAAGGCCTCTGGACTTGGGAAGCGATTACTTCAACTGGCCACCTTGCTCACCTGTGGTCCAGCCCTGTCTGCTGGGGCTATGCCCGGAAGCATGCAGCAAATTCCATTCAGCTATCTTGGAGATTAGCAGTTTCTTCAAATTTCACAGCAAGGTAAAGAAAATTTAGGGTTTGCCATAGCTACAGGGGCTCTAGCTGCTCCCTTTCCTGGCCTTCTCCATGCCCAGTGAGAAAACAAGAGGAAAGACAACTCCAGGGGTCCTGGCAGTCACTCCTAGCCTACATGCTCAGGGCAGACAGCCTCTGCTCTTTGTCCCTAGCCCATTCCCCAGAGGGAGTCATAGAGCAATTTAGAGTTCTGGTTGTTTGGGGCCATTTTTAATCCCAGAAGTGATTTAAAGTTTTGGTGAGAGGCCTCACAGGAGTTTAGGGTCTGTGTCCAATAAACCCAATTAGATAAGTTGCAGACAGTTCTATGTAAATCTTAACTGTCACTACAAAAATATCTTCCTTAGATTAGAAAGTTCCTGTCCTGTTGTTGCTGCTCTTCCTGGAAGCAGAGGGATAACTAAGGGCTGACATGCTTTGACTACAGTGGAATCTGTTCGGGGGGCTCAGCACTGATCTTTGCAAGGTTAAGTGTCAAAACAAGAGGTGGAAGGTTTGCCTTCTTCCCACCAGACACACGGCTTATCCATCCATGTGCTCCAGGGTAGCTGGCTTGCAATTTAGTCCCTGAGCCCTTGTCTAGAGCTGACTAGGCCTGGCTTCTTCCCTTAAAAACATGAAGCAAGAGACATGCACCAAGGGCTGGAATCAGGTATTAGAAAGAGAGTGGAAATGATAAGGGAGGTAACTGTAAAATTCTAGACAAATTCTGTACTCTCATCTTTTTGCAAAAGTCTTTAACTTCTAACTCCACTTTAAGAAAATCGAAATTGAAAATTGTAGACAATGTATCATAGGTGTGGTTATTTAAGGGTCTTAATTTGTGAATTCACTGGCAAGAAAAGGCCCTCTTTTTGTAGTAAAGGTTGTCAGATAAATCCAGTTATATATTTTAAGTTAAAAGAAAATGTTTCAGGCAGTGGTTCTCAAATTTTTTGATCTCAGGATCCTTTTACATTCTTCGAATCGTCTTCTGTTCCTTCCTCTCCTCTTTTGGTAGTACCCTACACTTATGTTTCACCTTGCACAGTTGTCTCACAGTTCTTGGATATGCCACTTTTTTTTTTTTCCTTTTGGTCTTTTTTTCTCTTTGCTTTTCCATTTTGGAGCTACCTACTGACATATCCTAAAGTTTAGAGATTCTTTCTCAGCTGTGTCCTCCAGTCTACTAATGAGCCCATCAAAGACTTTTTTCATGTCCGTTAAAGTGTTTTTATTTCCAGCGTTTCTTTTTGATCCTTTCTTAGAATTTCCATCTGTCTGCTTATATTACCTATCTGGTCTTACATAATACTCTTATGGGAGTTCCCTTGTATGGGACAAGTCACTTATTTCTTGCCACTTTCAAAACTTTGTCTTTGACTTTTGACAGTTTAATGAGAATGTGACTCAGTGTAGACCTCTTTATGTTCAATCTATTTGGGGTCCTATGGGCTTATAGAATTTGGATGTCTATTTCTCTCCCCAGATTTGGGGAGTTTTCAGTTATTTCTTTAATCTCTCTGCCCCTTTCTCTTATCCTTCTGGGACTCCTGTGTTATCCCATAAATCCTGAAGACTTCTTTTACTCTTTTTCATCCTTTTTTACTTTCTCTCCTCCTACTGGATAATTTCAAATGACCTTTCCTTAAGTTCACTGATTCTTTCTTCTGCTTGATCAATCAAGCTAATAAAAAGACCCTGGGTACTAATTCTTCTTTGGTAAGAAGAAGATGGGTTGATATCAGAGTTCTTTGTATATGCTGTCATCCATGCAGGCATCGTGGCCCATGTTATCCCAGGGAAAATGCACAGACTTTTCATTACAGAGCATGAGTTCAGTCTCTTCCACCAGTGCTTTTGTCATTTTCATAAAGACTGAGGAAAAGAAACTCTGAGGACCCCTGGTTAGGGATTTTGACAGCCCACAGACTACCTCAGGCTTCAGCCTAGAGATTGGTATGTTTTGGGAGTTTCTCTTAGCAAAAAGTTTCACCCATCTGAGCCCTCACTTAGGCCTTCTATAGAATTCTACCAGCCCCACATACCACATCTCTCTGAGCACATGGGGTGGAGAGGGTGCAAGAGAAAGTTGAAAGGTTATTGGGGAGAGACACCTATGTGTCTTATTGAGTACCTGTGTGCTCATTACTTTTCTAAGTGCTGTGGACAAATATATCTGGAACTATCAAGTCCATTTCAAGACTGTCCCAGGCCTAGACACTCTTACTTTTGAAGGTCCCACCCACATCATGTCAAAATGCACCTACATACCACTTTAAGTATAATTTTGTAGTATGTTTGAAATGATTTTTCTATTTCCATTATTAAAATTATTTGGAAAAAAGTAAAATTATTTGGCTTACAAGTGACTCACTTGAGTCATAATTCTATGATTCTTCAACAATAATCATGAAAACTCAGGAATTCTTGCAAAGTGAAGGCAGATTGTTTTAAAATATGGTGCATGCAGGAATACAAAATTTATCCATTACTGAGGTTGACAAAATGTTCCCTTTTGTAGAATTGTAAATAATAATTATTAAGATATTTTTAGGGTTTTTTGAGTTACGGTTTTGTTAGTTTTTGTAGTTAGATGCTAACATGTTTTCT